GATTTAAGACAAACAAATGAAAACTTAATACGAAGACTTATTCACACTCTAATGACCTAGTACATAACCACAGCTCTTAAAAAAAAATCAATTGCCAGCCAAAGAGTTACTCAGAGGGCAAACGAGGGTATTGGCCAACTGAGTCCAGCCATTAGGAAAAAAAATCCAAGTGCTTTTCTTTTTGACTCCAGAAAATATTATTTTTAACTTATTCTCTGAAAGAACAGACTGGTTCAGATCTTTTATATCTTTAGCTATTCCTGACACTCCTGGCAATAGAAGAATTTATTTTATTAATATTGATACATGAATGAATGATCCCAGAAGCCTAACTTCTCCAGCAGCCCCGGAAATGAATTGGCACTACTATCCTGATTTTATTTCTACTGGGGTCCCTAAGACCCTTTCTCTAAGGATTCTGCCTGATACCTTTCCTTTGGGGAGCAAATTCCAGCTCACTCAGTCTTTTCCAGAGATAAAGGGAAAAGCCCATAGGTTGTTTAGCTGTAAGTGTAGGATTTAAAAGGACAGATATCTTTCCAATAGCTTTGAGTCACTGGGTTTGATAGCCATTGTAAATTTGAGAACTCACAAACTTAAATGGGTAAGGAAATGTTTTCATAAAAGTTTACATTTCCATATTGATTTTATTCTTCACTAGTTTCATATTTCACACACTATTTAGAATGACCATTTTTCCAATGGCACCAGTTTGCTCTTATAATTATAAAAACAGTGACTCCACATGTACCTACCACAAACAATGTCACGCTTTGGAACCCAAAGTCCAATACTGCACAAATAAAAAGTTTTATTCCTTATTTGCAGATAGAGTGCAGTCAGAACTTCACCATCTCTTAGATAGGGTGTGAAAAGTTGGCAGGCACACCAAGCGTTTTTCTATTTATTGTTTTATGACAAACTATGGCACTGAAAATAGTTTTTGAAAACCACTCTCTGTTTATTTTCATCAACAAACATGGGATCATGTGACAGTGATACACCCAGTGTGATCATCGCACCAGGGTAATCGTCAAACCCGGGCACTTCCAAAGTCCATTCAGTTATCAAACTGCCTTCACGTAACATAGCACCTAGTTCTGGCATGCACATGGTTTTCAGAGTGCAGAAAGATCTCTTAAAGAAGGGGATGTGGCTGGAGCAAGCCACTGAAAGGGAAATAGGTAGTGGGGAGTCAGTTCCATCCCACTGAGGGTTGCTAAAAAGGTCTATTGCTCCTAAAATTTCCTGTCCGGCAATCTGTACCTGATTATTCCATATCCCATCTTTTCCTGGCCCTGAGCCTAAAATTCCCAAGCAAACTCTTATTTAGGCAAAACAATGAAAAGTAGGGTATCATACACCAAAGGCGTGATGATTAAAGTTGGTAGAAGGGGAGCAAAAGCATTTAATGTATCCATTTTGAAAGGTGCAAGTGGCCCTAGGGAGTAAGATACAGGAGAAGGAAGTTTGGTTGGGGAAAGGAAGATGTCCTGGTCTGCCTGGAGGCAAATGCTGAGAGGGCAGTGAGCATTCTACAATAGACAAAGGTGAAATGCAGCAGTAAGATACATTTAAAGAATGGCCTCTTCAATCAACTCATTTCCTTTTCCAAAGGTTCTGGGTAGCTTGTGCCCACTATTCTGAGTAGCCTCCCCCAGCCTTGGCCTAACTAACACTAATGACATCAGTCTCAAGCAGGGTGTATAAGAAACTCAAATTGCTCTGCTGCACAGCCACAGCCACTTTTGTATACCTCCCACCCTCTCCAGAGTCCACATTTCTGCAAAACTTTTCCTATCAATGCAAATCTTAACTTTCATGAGTCCTGGCCAAGAGATAACATAACACCCCTGAGATAGATGCTATCAAATGAATAGCATGACCATGTAGATAGAGAACAAATCCCTAGTCTCATTGGAAATCACATTTTGGATTTTGTTATCTCCCATATTTCTCTCTGAACTGTTTCTTTCCACTAGCGCTTAATTTGATTTTGCAAGATAAGGAGAAAAGAGGGTGCCAAACAATTGTAGTTCAGTTTTATGTCATCAGTGAATGGATTCTTTTAATTTGGCCCAGTCTCTCTTTTTCCAGATCCTAACTAGAGGCAATTCTGCCTGAATCCAGATCATCAATGATGTCCAGTTTGGTAAGTAAACATTGGGCCAGAAGCCCTCTGTTGAAAGTCCAGAATTTCAAAGGGCATAGGCAACCGTGTTTAATTCAATTAAGCAAATACAGTCTGAGTAACTATTTAGGGGCAAGAGACAGTCCTAGCTACTATAGGGAAGAAAATGACAAATGCTTGGCCTCTGAACTTGAAGAGCCCATAATCAAGTATTTTGCAGCCCTTTCCTTTAAATAGCTTAATTCCTACTTATTCCATAAAGAACCTCCATGTATTTTATTTTTTAACTCAAAGATTTAGAGCCACAGAGTCAACTGGAGTGAGGTATCTTGAGTGTGTCCTCCAGTAACACAGATAAGAGCAGGTTGCACACCAGTATTGTACTTTTAAGTTCTTGACCACTGAGGCTTTTTTGTGTGTGTGTCTTTTGCCTGACTTTCTGGTACTATTAAGTTTACAGGATTTCTAATAAGGATTGCAGGTATGGATTGGAGGATGAAAAGAAGGTAAGAAAGCAGTTGATGAAAACTAACCATGGCTGGTGGCTTACACCTGTAATACCAGCTCTTTGGGAGGATTGCTTGAACCCAGGAGGTCAGGGCCAGCCTGGGCAATATAACAAGATATTCCAGCTTGGGAAACAGAGCAAGACCCCATTTCAAAAATAAATAAATAAAAACAAGAAAAAAAACCTAACCAAAACTGTAAATAGTTTGCTTCAGGGCTCTTTCCTTTTCAGCAATCCTTTTATTTTTTCTTCCTGGGCATGAATGGCTTATTTCCCGTAGTCCAATCAGCTACGCAGAGGTCTTCATTTATTTTTGATTTGCTATGGCCAAGTTTCTCATTGAACGAATGAGCTTTATGATCATGAGTGTCATGCAGTCCTGTGCATGTAAAAGCCAGTAGTGCTAGTCAAGGACTTTTGTAATTTGAAAAGAATCAAAACAGCACAAAAATTTTCCAATTGTGAAAATCTTGGGATAGCAGATGAGGTGAAGAATTCCTACTGCTCTAAAAATTGAGGAAAAAAAATCATACTCAGAAAGTTTTCTCAGGGCGAAGTCTTCTCACGGCCAGCAAGTTGGAACGACTAGTTTCCTCAAGTACTGTGGTGCTGAGGGGATAGCATGCTACCAATGCTCTGAACTAGAGGTCAGAAAACCTGCATTAGAGTCCCAGGTCTTCCACACACTTGCTGTGAGATCTTAGGGCAAAACGTTTAACCTCTCTGGACTTTATTTTCCTCATCTCTAAAATAAAGAGGATAATAATAGCAGTGGTCAGGTGGCCATGTGGCTCGAATCTAATAAATGTGCAAGGTTTTTTTTATACTGTAAAGAATCAGATCTAGGTATATTATTATTGAGATATCAAAGACCCCTTTGCAAATCAGAAAACTCATTGTCCTTATCAGTCGATGACTCTATGCCATAAGTTTTTTTTTTCTATTAACCGATTCTACTCCCACTAAATGGTATAAACAGAAGAACTACCATCTTGAGATAGTCATCAAAATGCATGAAAGGGTAATGAGGTTTTCCCAACAATATATCTTAATGGGGAAAAGTTAAACATATCTATCAAGTAATTGCATAGCGCTCTGGGAAGTGTTCATGTGAAAATAAATGACTGCATACAAGGGCTTTCCATGGCTAGGACAGTGTCTTCTGAATGTGTTCTGCAGTTCTTACTGCCCTAGGAGCATCGTGCAGACATCAGAATCAAAACCAGACCCTGCCGTTAAAAACTGAGGTACAGGCCAGGCATGGTGGTCACGCCTGTAATCCCAGCATTTTGGGAGGCTGAGGGGGGCAGATCACAAAGTCAGGAGATCAAGGCCATTTTGGCTAATACGGTGAAACCCCATCTCTATTAAAAAAGCAAAATAATTAGCTGGGTTTGGTGGCGTGCGCCTGTAATCCCAGCTACTTGGGAGGCAGAGGTTGCAGTGAGCCAAGATCGCACCACTGCACTCCAGCCTGGGTGACAGAGGGCGATTCCATCTCAAACAAACAAACAAACAAAACTGAGGTACACAGACATGATCCAGGCCACAGTTCAAGCTGATGGCAGAGCTGGGACTAGAATTCACGTACAATTTTGTTCTAACATAATTCCATGTTGTTTTCTCAGTTTCCAGTCAGGAAAGGGCTCTGCTGCTTGGAAAACATAACTCAGTAACAATTACAACCCATCCTGGGTTTTCTAAATGGTGCTGCTCAATGAGTGAACAGATGTTGCAAAGTCATGGCCCAGGCAGCTCAGAGCCTTGCAGAAGATAAAATTCACATATGTAATAAAAGGATAGAACTTCCAGTTGCCCCAGAATAATCAATAGAATGCTATAGGAAAGAAAGGTAACATAATATCTAGAATCTATTTTTATGCCCCATGTTGAACTTCATAAGAGGTAACTCTGGTAGTTCTCCTGAAAGGTGAAATAGTGGGACTGAATATCTTTTCTAAACCTAGGTTGGGCTTCTACCAGAGAAAAGCAAGGCTGCTTGAATGAATATTGCTGTGGCCAGTTATTTTGATACTGAGAAAAGAGATGGATCCTAAAAGAGGGTGACAGGCTGAGGGGGCTTAAGTTCACTCACTAAAGTTAGGATGACCAATACATTCTTACACTATTCTCCAAGACTTTATTAGAACTCGGAGGACTTTCTCCCTCTTCAAAATAATGTTTACTTATGCTATCTGAAAATACTTCCTGCATTTCAGACTCAGCCTGTAATATGTTAACAGCCAACAGTTGAACAATATTCTGCATGTGCATTTTTGTGCAGTAAACCATTTGCCCAAAGAAAAAAAAACCAAAGCAACTCCCCATCTCCCCCAATGAAGACAGCAGAAGAGAACTAACTGATTTGTCTGTTGTCTTTCCTGTCAAGATCGCCCTCGCCTTTGCTTTGGTCAGCGGGAAGGACTTTATGTATGAGTCATACAAATGTTTTGCCAGGGCCCGGAGGTCAGCAGACTCTGGGTTCAGCTGGTCGATATCACTGGAGATCTCCGCCAACAGCTTCTCCTTCTCGGCCTGTGGCATCCGCCCAAACCTGATGGCTATAGAGGAAGAGGAATGACAGGATGAATCATTGGATCACTACTGCTCCAAACATACACTGTGCTCTCCCAGCCCTTGTTCCCACACAGTAGAAACTCCTCCTCCTCCACCGCTCTCGAGTTCTGGTTTCCGTCTACCACTTTGATCATGTTTTTATTTCACAAAAGTAGCACAGACCATCAGCAAAAATTAAACTGTTCACTTTAATTTTTAAAAGTTAATGCATAATCTTGCTGAGAAAGCAAAAGAATTCTCAAGAGTTTAGCAAAGGGAGGAAAGTATGTAGACTGGGATGTAAAATAATTGAGAACCAACTCCTACTCATGCCTCAATACCCAATTTCAGGGTCACTTTCTTTGTATCCCCAGCACTTGATCTAAGGTCAGGCACTAGAAGGATCAACACGTTTCATAAATTAAAGTAAGGAGCTGTGCAGAATTCAAAGTTGTACAGACAGAGGATTTGTTCTCAGGGAGTTTGTACGATCTGTTTGTCCCAGTTAAAAAGAAATATGGATGGTGCTTTATTACATCTTACTAGCCCAGAGAGCATGTTTACATGTAAGAGGGAAGCCATAGTTATCCTCCAGCTCTCCAGAGTTACCACTTAATAATGTTTGTCAGAAAGACAATATCCTTACCATCTGCCTGCCTGTGGGGTGAGGAAGTGTGAAAGATGATGAAAGAAAGAAAGGCAATGAGGGACACATAAGAGGGGTTAGTGGGGACTAGTTTGGAGAAAAAATAATCTATAACTTTTCATCTCAGATATGTTTTTTTCCTTCTTACCAATATGTTCAACAAAATATTATTTTGAATCATGTTTCTTTGGGGGCACACTTTGGGCTCTGTGTTTCCCATAATAAGAGCACCTGGCCATCATCTCTGGTACACAGTTCTGCTCTTATACTTACCACGTTGTATCACAGCTCTGTGTTTTTATGGTGGTTGGCTTCCCTAGATCATATGCTCTTTGAGCACAGAGACTGTCATATTCATTTATGTCCCTAGCAGTCAGTGGTGCTCAGTCAGTGGTTGCTGAGGCCAGGTGCAGTGGCTCAAGCCTGTAATCCCAGCACTTTGGGAGGCCGCGATGGGTAGATCACCTGAGGTCAGAAGTTGAGACTAGCCTGGCCAACGTGGTAAAACCTGTCTCTACTAAAAATACAAAAGTTAGCCTGGTGTGGTGGTATGCACCTGTAATCCCAACTACTTGGGAGGCTGAGGCAGAAGAATCCTGAATCCAAGAGGTGGAGGTTGTAGTGAGCCAAGATTGCGCCACTGCACTCCAGGCTGGGTGACAGAGCAAAACTCTGCCTCCAAAAAAAAAACCAAAAACCAAAAAACAAAAAACGTTGCTGAATCCCAGAACAAAGAGATGGTTCTAATTTTTATTAGCCCTGCTAATTTTTATATTTTTAGTAGAGGTAGGGGTTCACCGTGTTGTCCAGGCTAGTTTCAAACTCCTGACCTCAAGTGATCTGCCCACCTCAGTCTCCCAAAGTGCTGGGATTACAGGGGTGAACCACTATGCCCAGCCAGACATGGTTCTTTTATATGTTATTATGCTAAGGGTAGCATTTCTACCATGAGACATGACAGCACATGACAATGTTCCCATTTGAGTACTCAGTGAATATTACCTTGGATTTTCGCAAGAAGAAAGTGACACATACCCTTGAGTTTCAAATTCACAAATTCATTTCAGTTGACCCTAAATAAACTTTATCACTAATACAACTATTGTTTTTTAGGGGCCTCCTTAGAGACCAGAGTTGGGAGTCAGAGAGGAAGAAAATCTTACCTCTCAGTTGGGATTCCTTTAAATTAAATTAGCCTATATTTAGATACTTTTAGTAAATATATCCTTGGTACATGGCCCCTTCATATAGAAACCTTTAAATTGGGAGGTTTCGATAAAAAATTGTTTCCCTACCCACTCTTCCCCATTTTCTTTGTGTTGTTCCACTGGGGATGATGGTTGTTCATATTCTTATCTACTGGTGACCCCAACTCCTGTCGCTAGGCTTGTTGGGTCCCTCAGGATATGACCTCATTTCACAGCACTGATCACAGGAATTAATCTATAATGTTTTCTTTCCTCCCTTGCCATATAATCTCCACAAAGGCAGGAATCTTGTTCATTATTGTATCTTTAGCACTTAGTACAATTTCTGGCACATATTAAGTCCTTGCCTACTATATTTTGAAATAAAATGAAAAGAAAACTCCAGATAGCATATTCCTTCAAAATCCTCTGTGAACCTCCTGACCACTTTGCTCAGTTAGAATTTCTTATGCAGTTGGCCCTCCATAACCGCAGATTCCACATCTGCAGACTCAACCAACTGTGGATTGAAAACATTTGGAAAAAAGAACAAATAAAAAATAATATGGGCTGGGCACAGTGGCTTAAGCCCAGCACTTTGGGAGGCCAAAATGAAAGGCTTGCCTGAGGCCAGGAATTTGAGAGCAGCCTGGGCAGCAGAGAGAGACCCCATCTCCACAAAAATAAAAATAAAAATAATTAGCTGAGCATGGTGGTGTGCACCTGTAATCCCAGCTACTTAGGAGGCTGACGTGGGAGGATCCCTTGAGCTCAGGAGTTTGAGGCTTCAGTGAGTTGTGACAGAGCCACTACACTCCAGCCTGGGTGACACAGCAAGACTCCATCTCTAAAATAAATAAATAAAACA